ACACCATTTCGGACAAATGGCTGTCCAGTCTCTTCTTAAAAACTTCCAGTGTTGGAGCATTCACAGCTTCTGGAGGCAGGTTGTTCCACTGATTAATTGTTCTAACTGTCAGGAAATTTCTCCTTAGTTCTGGAGGCAGGTTGTTCCACTGATTAATTGTTCTAAAACTGTCGGAAATTTCTCCTTAGTTCGAGGTTGCTTCCTCTCTTTGTGTTAGTTTCACCATCCATTGCTTCTTTGTCCTGCCTTCATGCACTTTTGGAAATAGCTTGACTCACCTCTTCTTGGGTATGCAGCCCCTGAGACATTGGAACACTGCTATCATGTCCCCCCTCGTCCTTCTCTTCATTAAACTAGACATACCCAATTCCGTTCCTTATATGTTTTAGCTCATAAGGTATATGTTTATACTTTAAGGTATATGTTTATACCTTAATACATTCTCTATGATTTCCACAATGGCCTAAATTCTGTGTTTGGTCGCAGTCTTTGGACTTAGGACAGCAATCACCATAGGAACAGAAACCCCTGGCAGTAGCTAGATTTTTGTCTCAATGGGCACTTTATCAGTGGTAACTTTTTTCCATTGGATGTACAGAGCCATAGGGACCTCTCTGGATAACAAGGCCAATCAAAAGAAGGAAACAAGCTGAGACCTGAAAATTTGGGCAAGTCATCAGTGTAGAACAGGACTGATGCCAGGAAAGCATTTTGAGTAATGGCTTTAGATCCTGGATGCAGTTGCTGGAGCTAGACAGCAGCTTGATTACCTGGGCTGGATCCCAGTTAAGCAAGAACAAAAAAGAGAAGTGCAAGCTTAGCTGTAGCCTTCAAAACAAAAAGTACAAAGAACCCAGTTGCTCTCAGGTGGATGAGGATGAAACACAAAATGGTGACGATTTTCCTTTGGGAATTTAAAAAGAGAGCTATAGGAGCACTCCTGTGTGCCTGAGTTTAATCTGGTTTCATGAACACTGCAGTATTATGGAAGAGCATAGGGATGCGCTCCCTTCTGATATCTTTACCATCTTATTCTTTAGGGATTGCTACAGGATGTTGTCATATTTCCTACCAAGATTCCAGACTACCCAGTTTACAAGTACCCACTGAGCAAGAAACTACTTAGTAACCATCAGGCATTTCCACAGGGAAACATCTTATTTAAGAAACATTTTATTTAAGCAGTGCAAGAAGCAAGTAGAACATTCAAACATCTGCAACTATCTAAGATCCTAGCAGTCTCCCAGCGTTTGTCTAATTCCATCTCAATAAATTCCTCACATAAGGCGACTCAGACCTCTTGAAGGAAGGATTTGCAGGCATGCCAGATGAATTTGTGGAACTATCAGGTGATAAAGTCACTTATATCTAGTCTGTTCAGAGACTAATTGGCCAGAATCTATTATAATGAGCAAGGTGACGCCTTATGTTGCTGTCAGGGATATGTTTGATCTTCTGGCACCCAAGGAAGGGTCTTCTGTAATCTGAATTCTGCCATTTGTAGGCTAGATCAATTCCCCCCCCCCCCGCTCACCTTATTTGAATGGCTAGGGATACGGTGAGCAGCAGGCTTAAGGGGATAATCAGTGGTTATTTGGGCGTCCCGTCAGCCCAATTCTGGTTGGCGGGGTGCAGGAGGAGGGCCTTCTCTGTTGCTGCTTCTGCCCTCTGGAACATCTCCACCCCCCACTTACCCCGAAATGAGGTTGGCCTCAATCCTCCTATCCTTTCATAAGGGTCCAAAGATCAGGTTCTGCCAGTTGGCCTGGCATCCCAATAGGGGAACAGCACAGTGGAGGTGGTTGATCAAGAATTAGATCCCACTTACACCCCGCCCCCATTTCATCCCCCCTCTCCCCACATGTCCTTGATTTTAATCTTTGGTTTTAATTTATTTAGATTTTAATATGTATGTATTTTTTTGTCTGTAAGCTGCCCAGAGTTACCTCATGATAAGATGGGTGGTCAGTAAATTTTATAAATAAATAAATAATGTCATTTTTCTTAAAATAAATAGTAACATACTTTCTGTTGAGGAGGTGCTCACTGGGTCCAGCTTTTTTTTTTTTTCCTACTTTGCTAGGATGGAATTTGGAGGTATCATTTTGTAGTGATTCTTGTCCTAGCTCTATGTTGATGACACTCAGTTATACATAACCACTTGAGCCAAGCTGGAGATGCCGCAAAGTCCTAAACCATTTCAAAAGACTGTAAGGATCAGGATGAGACAAAAGTAACTCAGATTAAATCCTAATAAGACAGAGTTGCTCAGCATCAATAAATACCTTAATTTCTTTTTTCAGTAGTAATTGTGGATGCAATCATGCTGTCTCCAAAGGAGCTGGATCATGATTTGAGGATTCTTCTGGACTCACAGCTCCTAGTTAAACTATGGGTAGAATCCAGCAGAATCTGCATCCAATTATAGCTAGCGCACCAATTACAACCTTGCCTGCACAAAATTGTTCTAGGGACAGAATTCACGCCCTGAGCATCACCAAGTTGGATTATTACAACATGCTGCATGGGGCTGCATTTGGAGATGACCCATTCAACCTACTTCAATGCTCTCAAGCAAGAGTAAAACCTATTCTGAAATTGCTGCATTTTACAAATAGGCTTTCACACCATCACCTTTAATTTCCATTACATGCTATACCGTATCAGACAATGCATTGAATCTGACTATCTGGTCCAATATTGTAGGGAAAGATTGTTGTAGTTCCTCCTTCCTTGCAATGTTTCAGCGGCATGAGCTAGACCAGGGAACCCCAACCTTTTGGGCACCAGGGACCAGTTCCATGGAGAGAGGTTTTTCTGCAGACTGGAGGGTGCATGGTTTTGTGTGCTGCCCGCATCTTGTGGATGGGACTTTGCTTGTTTGTTCAGCTCGGTTGCTGGCATGTCGCGGCCCAGTACTCGTCCACAGAAACGAGCTAGACAACAGAACTTCTCAGTGATGATCCCAATTCTATTTTATGAAAAGACCCCCAATCTACCCTGATTTGAAAACTGGCCAAAGTAGCTCTGTTCCAGGGGAATTTTGGCCTTTAGATTACATTTTGATATATAGATAGTCCTTGACTTACAATCATTTGTTTAGTGATTATTCAAAGTTACAACAGCACTGAAAAAAAGTGACATGACCCTTTTTCACACAACCGTTGCAGCATCCCCATGGTCACATGATCTATATTTGGATGTTTGACAACTGACTCACATTTATGACGGTTTCAGTGTCCCGGGGTCATGTGATCACCTTTTGCAACTTTCTGACAAGGAACGTCAATGGGGAAGCCAGATTCACTTAACAACAATGTTACTAACTTAACAACTGCAGTAATTCACTTAACAACTGTGGCAAGAAAGGTCATAGAATGGGGCAAAATTAACAACTGTCTTGCTTGACAACAGAAATTTTGGGCTCAGTTATGGTCGTATGTCAAAGACTACCTGTATTTGTATTGTTGAGTTCTGATATTTATATATGTTTCAATGCTTTTTAAAGACTTTAATTTACAATTCCCAGGTTCCATTAAAGCAGTGGTTCTCAACCTGTGGATCAGGACCCCATTTGGGGTCGAACGACCATTTCCGGGGCGTCGCCAAACAACGCAGTCCACCATTTTTTTCCCCTTTTCCTTAGCTGTGCTACTCCCTTTTATTCTATTGGCTTTTGAAAGCCAATAGAATAGACTCTCTTGAATAGAGTCTAATTCTATTGGCTTTCAAAAGCCAATAGGAATTGTCCAGGCTGTCTCTGCCCTGCTGAGCCCACAAAAAATCCCATTCTGCAAACGGTCCTGCACCAGTTGAGTAGTCCTCGACTTACAACCGGTTGAGTAGTCCTCGACTTACGACTGGTTGGGGGGTCGCGGCATTAAAAAGGTTGAGAACCACTGCATTAGAGGTATAAGTATTGTTTAAATAAATAGCAATGTCAGCTAATAATACAAAGCACTTGACATGCATATAAAAAACTCCCAGACAGGGTCCCTCTGTAAACCCTTCCCCACACATACACCCACCACTACAGTTAAATCTAGAACCAGATTATCCTGGGACAGCTTAGATGGATGAGATAAATAACCTGTCTCAGACTTTAGGTCTCATAACCTGGTCCAAGGTTTTTCAAATTGTATTCCATGGGACCCTAAGATTCTAGGAGAAGCTAATGCAATTCTTTGAGAGATTACCGGTAGCTGGAATGAGGGGGGAGGGAATCATTCACACACAGCCAATTTACTATCAGTGATGCTTTGTCTCCTAATCAGCAATTCCAACAATTTTTGTCTTAACTAATAGGCTCTATGACCTGAAAATGATTGGAACCCTCTGGCCCAGTGCAGTATTTTTTTTTTTCTTAACTAAGGCAGTTGGAATGAAATGATATGTGTAATTACTGTTCATTATTTCAACAAAAAGGATTATACGCCCAGATTGCTTTAATACAGGGGTAGTCAACCTTGGCTCTTTTATGACTCATGGACTTCAACTCCCAGAATTCCTGAGCCAGCTGTGCTGGCTCAGGAATTCTGGGAGTTGAAGTCCACGAGTCATAAAAGAGCCCAGGTTGACTACCCCTGCTTTAATACATGTTTTGAAGACAAACCCAGTAATTAAGACATATGAGGTACATACGAAGAGCTTGTTTCACTCTCTCCTACCACCAAAAATACTGTTGTGTCTTTCAGACTTCTCCTTGGCATTTCAGAAGCTCTGTCTGTACGATGGAAATAACATTTCCTCTTCCCTTCAGAGCTACTCAGAGTATAATATTATTCGAATGACAAAGAATTTGAAAGGAGGCCACCACTTTTGTTCTTCTCCTTGGCTGCCCTTAGAAAGTGTTTCATGCATCTTGCTCTCCCCGTGATGAATAAAATCAAGGGGAAATACCCTCTTTGAAGCTTTTGTGGTGCATTAAAAAAGATCATAAGGCAGAAATGATTAGTCTTCGAAGAAGAAGAGCTATCTGGATCTAAAAAGCATCCTTTTTCTCTTGTACATGCATGGCTAAATTTTACTGGTGAGGTCTACTACAAATAGGCTTCTAAGGAGTATCACATTTACAGTGTGGCTGTGTGTGCAATTTAGAACAAATGTGTACCAAAGATGCTGGTTGGCTAATTCTTAACCCTCAGCCTGACAAGTATCCAGAAATGAGACCCATAGCCGAAACATAGTCGGCTATTTAAAATCTACAGGTGAGCATCATCCGGTTTCTGCTTCTGAGATCAACACAGATCCTCTCTCCTCCATCTTCCTCCAGTTCCATCCAACATACATTTTCTCACATTGAGTCTTCTGATTTTGGGGCCTCTCTTCCTCCTCCTTCTGCTTTGGAGTCACCTGCTTCTTCTATCCCTCAGCCAATGGCATTCACAGTTCCATTTCAATTTCTAGGATTTATTTTACAGAAATAAAGCTCAGGCTCAGTGGAAGCTGCCCCAGTACTTAACATGCTATGGATAGACAAGAGCGTTTACTGTATGCTATGATGAAGCCACTTTATAGAGTTGAGTGCCTTCTGTCAACATGGAGCGGAGGAGACCCATGCTATAGCATTTCTATATAGCCCGTACAGCATTTCTTTTTCCCACTTCTCTCACAGTTTAACAGATATTTAGCACTTGTTGGCTGTTGACATAAGTGACAGTTCTGCCCTAAGCAACTGTAGCTGTCAGTGCAGTTCCCACAGTTCAAAATCAGACTAGCTGCCTTCTTTACACCGAAAGGAGGGAAGGGCTCAACTTGTTATTTGCCTGGAGTGTCAAAATGTCTTCAGCTGACAGGCTGGAAAAAGATGTAAAGCAACAATATAAGTTAGTGTAGTGAATAGGTGAGCCATTCAGTCAATCATTTGGTTCAGGTAGGAAAGGCAGGCAAATCCAGCCCTCCACACTCACTCAGTCATGTCTGATCATTTGAATCTTATTCAGACAGGAAAGCAACGTCTTTGCTTCCCAAGTCAAAAAATGCCCCATAGCCCATACACACAGAGCCCATCACTTTTGGCTGCAGGGAATAAAAGTTTAGTCATTTTGAAATCCTTTCCTCACAAAGGAGAGGGAAAAGACAAGAGGCTTGCTTGGGCATGCTCTGGAAGAGATTTCCTCAGTCTCCTATTTCTGGTCCAAAAGTCTTGATCTTGAGGCAGGGGAGGCTGAGATCACTGAAAGACCTAGCTGGAAAAAGAAAAGCAGAAAATGGTTGAAGTAGGCTGGATGAATGCGGACTGATGAGAGCCTCGGGGAGAGATGGAGAATGAAAAAACATATGGCTTCGAAAAACAGTAGTACTCCAGTGATGTGAAGCTGCTTTCTCTCTAGAACAGGGGTAGGCAACCTTGGCTCTTTTATGACTCGTGGACTTCAACTCCCAGAATTCCTGAGCCAGCCATGTGATGCTTTTCAACCTTGGCAACTTTAAGATATATGCCTGAGGAATTCTGGGAGTTGAAGTCCACCCATCTTAAAAGTTGCCAAGGTTGAAAAACACAGCTCCGGGGAATGGAGGAGAAGGGAAATCTGGATCAGATCTCCAGAAGCCTCTGGGCAACCCAGGAGCTGAGCTAAATTGTTCCATGGTTTCTGAGTTAAAGTTGCAGTCTTCTTGAATCAGGGATTATCTAGGAACAGCAAACAGGGAAAGATATCCTTCAATGCCAAGGATGCATTAGGCAAGGCTCTGTTCTTTGTTTTGTGTGCTGTTCTGCTTTATTGACTGTGATATCTTGTTTCTGACAACTGTGCCTGCTGAGTAACCTTAGTATCTGAAAACTATTGTATTGTGTAAAGCAAACTCAGTTCTTGGTATTTTAGTACTTTGTGAGGTCTATGATTTTGCCTTATTCTGCCCGCCCTATTTAGTTTTGCAAGTGACTACCTTAAAGTTCAAAAGAAAGTTTACATTTTCCCTTTTCTTGTTTTTCACAAAGTTGCATTTTAAATGATAGCTTGTGCTTTGGTTTGAACTCTGCAACAAAGGAACTAGGGAGGACCTGTTTTCTCTGGCGACATATGCCTCTGAGGTATACACGGGTCAAGAGGTGATGCTGTGGAGTTTATCTGCTGTTATTGTTGTTGCTGTTATTACTCCCAGTTACTAGAAAGTAAGAGTGACCAAATGGTGAGATCTTCTGTCAGTCTCAGGGCAACTATTAAGGAAGAAGAAGCCAGGGCAAGGATTCTCCCGAATATTAGTGTGGCAGAAGAAAGAATAATACTGATCATTGCACCAAGGTAGGAAGATGGCTGGACCCATTTTCCTACCAAAGTGGAAGATTGAGATCTTCCACCTTTTACCCTATGGGTTCAGCTTTGCTGCTATAGGAATTGCTACTTTCTCATTGATCCGTTTTTCAAAATGTACATAGTTTCCTCTGTTCCTGAATAGTTTTTTTATGCACTGCATTTTAAATAACAGCCAGAACAAAACCAACCTCAATCATAAAGCGATGTGATCTTTTGCTGCATAAAGTCAAGGTCAACCCAAAAACACAAATTTTGCATGGATCGTGGAATATGTTAACTCTGTAAATGTCTGCTGGAAAGTATCAACTACTAAGATCTGTATGTGTCTTTGTTATCTGGGTGTTATCTATACATAAATACCCTCATCACAAATATACCCTCAGATCAATTCAGTACTGTAGTCACAGACCAGCATAATGTAACCCCAGAAAATTTTAAAGAGGGGAAAAAGAAACGTACATCGAGACATTTGGAAACTTCAAGGTCTGCTCCGCATGTTAAGCTGAAGGGCAACCATGCAGGCTAATCGCTACCTTGCATGCAAATACGGGCAGCTAAATTTGGAAAGTTTATTTCTTTCTTCCTCCTTCTCCCTGCCTCCTTTGAACAAGTAATTTCAGATGGGACCAATTTACAAAGAATAAATTTCCTTTACCTGCAATTTGCCTTTTTGAGATTGTTTCCTAACAAAACAGTTCTGTTGGAATAAAAGGGGGCTCCTGAGACACCAGTAAATCTGTACCGAAGATAGACAGCTGCAGCCCACAGCCTTGAAAAAAGTCTGATTCAATGCTGAGGTCAGAGAAAGCAGCCAGTACAGAAAATCAGAAACAGAAGTTTTGCTACTGCACAGCAGTTCTCATTTGCCCTCACACCACTTCCCAGTGTCAAAATCCTATTTATATATTTTTTTTTTCATCTTCTAATGAATATGTGCATCATCTGTCCCTGTGACGAGAGGATTGATTGATGTTACCATGCTTTAGCAGGCATTTTCTTGACATTTCCCCTCTTAATTGTTGCTCTTCTGTCTTCCGGTTCATTCAGACATCTTAAACATTATAGTTACTTCTGGCTGATGAGTTTCTGTATGAAAAATGGAAAATGTCATGATTGTGCCTCGTTTTTACAATAAATAAAGTGGAAAGGCAACAAATGCTTGTGGAAAATCAGAGTAATGTAAATAAGTAATAACAATTCATCTGGGAAAGTTCATCTCAAGACTTTGAGGCTGCTAAAATTTAGCCTGAGGTCTATGGCAAATACATCTCTTTTTCTAACTCTAGGAATGGGTTTGCATTATTCATCGGTGTGGACATTATTAGAGCTTCTCAGTGCTTTTTTTGTAAAAAAAAAAAAAATGGTGCCTACCCTACAAGGTTCCATCCCAAAAAGGTGCTGGAACTCCGTTCTGGGTGTTCTATGACAAAAAAAAAAAAAAAAAAAGCCCTGGAGTTTCTACTATAAATCTTCAAAACCCCAAAAAGGTATGAGTACAGATTAGGCAAAAAAACAGTAATTGTAAGAGGGACCTTGGAGTCCTAGTGGATTATCACTTAAATATGAGCCACCAGTGTGTGGCAACTGCCAAAAAAGCTAATACAATCCTTGGTTGTATAAACAGAAGCATAGAATCAAAATTGTGTGAAGTATTAGTACCGCTTTATAAAGCCAGTTTTGGTCACCACATTACAAAAAAGATGTTGAGGCTTTGGAAAAAGTGCAGAGAAGAGCAATTAAGATGATTAAAGGCCTGGAGACAAAAACATATGAAGAACGGTTGCATGATTTGGGTTTACCAGTCTAGAGAAAAGAACTACTAGGAATAACATGATAGCAGTATTCCAGTATTTGAGTGGCTGCCACAAAGAAGAGGGGGAGTCAACTTATTTACCAAAGCACCTGTAGGCAGGACAAGAAACAATGGATGGAAACTAATCAAGGACAGAAGCAACCTGCAATTAAGGAGAAAGTTCCTAGCAGTGAGGACAATTAACCAGTGGAACAACTTGCTGTCAGAAGTTGTGGGTGCTTTAAAACTGGAGGTTTTAAAGAAGAGACTGGACAGTTACTTGTTTGAAATAGTATAGAGTCTCCTGCCTGAGCAGGGGCTTGGGCCAGAAAACTTCAAGGGCCCCTTCCAACTGTATTCTGATTTTGATTCTGAATGAAGTTCCAAGATTAATTAAAAGTCTTGTTCCTGACAGAGGTATCCATGGTTAGAAGATGATGTCAAAAAAGTCAAGATGGCAACCACAACTGTACCATCAAAGACCCAGCCTCTTTTTTTTTTACATGCAGCTTAAAAAGAGGTGGGGATATGAATGCCACCATCTTGACTTTTTGACACCCCTGCCCTGGCTGTCATCTTGCTTCCAAATCACTGATAAATGCAGCTACTATTCATACCTGACATTTCAGGCAATCCAGCCCCACTGTCATCACCTCAGGTCTAAATGGTTTTGGTTTTTAACGTCTAGCATACTGAGGCTGCTACAGTTCTGGGTAACAGTCTGCTCAATCATTTATCTTATTGTGGGGAATCAATTAATAAAATAATTTTCTTTTGCCGGTGCCACTATTTTTTGCAAAATGTTTTCACAATAAAACCGCCCCTTGTTTTTTTTTTCTATGTATTGTTTAATATTATTTATATCCTGCCTGTCATTATTTATGACTGACATTAACAATCTTAAATAAAAACACCAAAAATACTTTTTAGTGGCGTTTCCTCAATTTGGCAACTTTAAGCTGGTTAGGGAATTCTGGGAATTGAAGTCCATCCAACTTAAAGTTGCCAAGATTAACAAATGCTGTTTTATTGGACAGAAATAATTATTTGGGGATCCTTCTCAAAGGGCAGTTGGTAGGGTAGACAGAAGTTGAGGCGGCCTTGTAAAATGGTCCTGGACTTTTTCTTTTCCCTTTTCCCTTTTCTCTTTTTTGTGCTTTGATGCCTATCTTTTGCTATTTACAAATGTGGTCTTTTTGCTGAAGTAGCTCATTAGATGCCTGCTGTGCAGAAGTTGTTGATGTTATCTGCAGAAGGAGTACTTAAACTGGATTAAATGTCTTTCCTACTAACAAGTCAACAGGCTGATCCCAGCGTGGGGAATTATCAGGCCCTGTTTTCCCACAAGAGGATCCCATCACTTGATATGTTGATCCAAACTTATTCAGAAGCTGTTCCCACCTCATCTTTAATCTATTAGAGATGACAAGCTCAAGAATTGGAAATAGAAAATGAGGAAAGGATAGTTTCTGTGAGGACACAAAAAAAGTGTGTGAACAGGCTGTACTTTGTTGCAAACCTCTCAAACAATTCAGCATAGTTGCACACCACAAAGGGGCAATTATAACTTCCAATATCACACACATTTTCAAAGTGCGTGTGTAGCATCGGTAGATGAGAAATTGTTAATGTGTTTGGGTTATTTGAGTCTGCCCAATAACCTGGAAGGCAGATCAAAAAATATTGAGTGTTTAAACAGCCATCTTTTAGCAAGGATATATCAGTATGTGTGCATGTACATGGCAAGCCTTTATTTATTTGTTAGATTTATATCCCACTTTTCCTGCAGGAGCTGAAATGCCCTCCTCCTAGTTTTCTCTACTACATAAACTCTGGGAGGTAGGCTGGATGGAGAAAGAGTGACTGGCTCAAGTCACCCAGGTAGCTTTGATGGATGATGATGAATGCTAACCTGGTGCCAGTTCAACACCTTCTCCATCATGCCAGAATGCAATTCGTTTGGTTCTAGCTTAATGTCAACCCTATAGGTAGATCAGTTTAAGAAGTCAATGCTATATAGGTATAGGTCAGCGATGGCAAACCTTTTAGAGATCGAGTGCCCAAACTGCAACCCAAAACCCACTTTCGGGTGCCGGGTGGGTGTGGCCCATTGGGTGGGTGTGGCCCATTGGGTGGGCGTGGCTGCGGTGGTAATGGTAGACTGGGTGGGACTAAAAAGTTCAATCAATCAATTCCAACTTTGCAAGATCTTTTTTTTCCCACGAGAAGTTGAAATTGACTGATTGGTTGAACCTTCTTTTTTTTTGCACATGGCGGCGGAGGCCTAAAGCGAAAAGGTTTTATAAACCCAGCTGGAGGCCTAGGACTGGGGCGACGGCACGGGTGCCCACAGAGAGGGCTCTGAGTGCCACCTCTGGCACCTGTGCCATAGGTTCGCCACCACTGGTATAGGTATATCGAGCAGCTATAGGAACAGACTCTTTCAAATCTGCACGTGCTTCTCTCCTTCATTCACTTCATTTTCATGTAAATTTGGGAGGGTCCTATCTGAGGCATTTTCTTAAGTTAGTTTGTTGGAATGGGCTCAAGCCACATTTCTTTGATCATAACAATAGCAACAGCAATAGCACTTAGATTTACATACTGTTCCATAGTGCTTTATAGCACTCTTGAGTGGTTTACCATGTCAGCGTATTGCCCCAACAATCTGGGTCCTCATTTTACTGACATCAGAAGGATGGAAGACTGAGTCAACCTTCAGCCCCATCGGGATCAAACTCTAGGCTGTGGGCAGAGTTTGCCTCAATATGCATTCTAACCACTGCCCCACCAGGGCTCCTTTACCTTGGTAATACAGATCATCCTCAACTTACAATAATTCATTTAGTGACCATTAGATGTTACAATGGCATTGGAAAAAAGTGACTTATGACTGCTTTTCACACTTATGACCGTTGCAGCATCTCTGTGGTCATGTGATCAAAATTCAGATGCTTGGCAATTGACTCATATTTATGATTGTTGCAGTATAACAAGGCCATTCACGTGCTCTTCTTTTGCAACTCTTTGACAAGCAAAGTCAATGGGACAAGCCAGACTTACTTAACAACCTTGTTACTAACTTAAACACTGCAATGAATCACTTAACAACTGTGGCAAGAAAGGTTGTAAAATGGAGCAACACTCAGTAATTGTCTCACTTAGCACCAGAAATTTTGGGCTTAATTGTGGTAGTGAGTCAAAGACAACCTCTACTATAGTTCTTCCCACATGCTTCAAGGCAATTCTCTCTGCTCTCTACATTTACCATAATGTGTAAATCTATTCACTATGATTTACTTAGTAATCAGTGGTCAAGGAATCCTGGATTAAGGCAGTACATAAACTGATTTGGTGACCTGATTCACATGTTTCACTAAGTATGATTTTTAAACATGATTTATTGATAAAGTTAGATAGGTTCACACAAGGCAGTAGGCAACAAATTATAGTTTGTAAATTGCAAATAGTGGGTTCAATAATATGAATCCAAAATTAAACAAATTACATTATGGCTTTCCATAATGTGTAAATCCAATTGGTGTGTGTGTGTGTGTGTGTGTGTGTGTGTGTGTGTACTTCTGTATTTTGGGGATTATAATTCCCAACTCACTATAGTTCTCAAACTGCCAGTTGTTTCAGGGTAACTACTGTTTATATGATGGGATTATCAATTTCTGCTTGTCATTCACTAGTCTTGCAAATATATCTTTTATCAAACACTAACACCCTGCCTAGGATATGATGTAGCAACTTTTTAAAATATGTAATTATTTTGATGTGGTCTATAACTTGAGTTGAAGCAGTCAAAATCAACCAAATGTTCCAGAGATTCAACAATTTTGACTTATTTCTTTTTACTTGACCAAATGGCCGACCAAGAACAAAAGGCACATGCAGTTCTGTTCCCTTTCTTTTTGCAGACACACACAATTAAAACATAATTCTTGATTTCATTGTTGGCAATGTCCACAAGAAAGCTCCCTATACATCAATATTATGCGGAGGATCATACGTGGACAACCAATGCAACTTTATTTATATTAAGATGGATCCAAACATTTATAAAGCCTATCAATTACTTCTCTCAATAAAATAGATACAGTGGTACTTTGGTACTTCTCTGCTTTGAAACTCATCAAATTTGGTAGTCAATGCATTTTGATGTGAAAATTTTGTCCCAATATTCATTGTTTGTTTGGTACTCAATGCACAAGCTAGAACCTGTCAGTGTCGACTGCCTTGTGACTCACTACATTATTCCTTGTGGGAAAAAATTGTTTGGTATTCATTG